CCCCCCCCATTCTATTCCTGTCATTTTGCAGATGAGAAAACTAAGGAGCAGAGGTTAACTGCTAGTCAGAGGTTACCTTTGGGGGCAGGATTATGGGAAGCCACTGTTTACTCCATATGGGTCTGCATTACTTGCATTTCTGCAGTTTACAGGATGTAGAGGCCTTAAATCAACGGACTCATCCTCCCACGACCCTGTGAGCTTCGCCATCCTAGGGGCAGTCACCTGCCAGGCACTCCTGACTCTTCATCCCCACAGCCGACTGGTTACCAAGTCACGACCATTCCCAGGGCCAGCATCAAAGACAGGATGGCCCAGAATACCAGGCTTGCCCCTCTCCTCTCTCTGCCACCCTGGCAAAGTGCTTTGTACACACAGCACTCAGACACCTTGCAAGGGACACCTTCTGGCCACCCTAGCCATTCTGGGCTGCCCTTCTCCAGTCCCCCTCCTCTCCTCCTCACTATCTGGCCAGCCTCAATGTCCCTTCCCTGACTCAATACACCAGTGTCCCCCCACTGCTTGAGGCCTTATCCAGTGGTCAGAGGACCTTTCTAGAACACAAGTTTCTCCCTGCCTAAAACCTTTCCAAGCTTCCCCAGTGTTTGGGGGCAGAATCTGAGCTCTTCCCATGACCTTCCAGCCAGTTTTGTCACCTGCCAGCTGCCTGGTGCTCACTCCAGCCCCAGAATCACAAGCTGAGGCCCCTTCCATGGACCCCTCTGCACAGTCCCATAGCCCACAGCTCCAGACCAGGACTGGCTCCTTGCACTTGATATTCCTTAATACAGACTAGGAGGGCCTCTCATGGTGTCATCCCCAGCATGGGACTTGACCAGTGGTTGCCCCTGACTGGCTTTGAAGGGTCTAGAGGGCAAAGGGGCAGCACACAGAGTGTGGGCAGGTGTAGAGGTGAGGGACGGAGGTGAGGTGTCCTGCACTGAGGTGAGCACATCGGCCACGGGCAGACCTGGGAGAAGACAATGTGTCTGTGCGGATGACCATTTGAAAAGTCTCTGCGATAGCAAGGCGAAAATGTCCCGAGGTGGTCAGACACTTAGGATCCCACATGCCCACCCCTCTAGAGCTTTCCCCAGGGAATGTGGACAACCACCTGTGTGCCTGCCCCTTCTTACCCACTTGGCCCCCATGCCAGCTGGGACCGGACACCTGTCACCTCCCTCAAAGCTACTCTAGCATCTAGTGAGCCACTTCATCCCTCTGGCCTTAATTTCCTAGTCTCCAAAAATGGGCACAAGAAGCCTATGTCACAAGGTTGAAACCTTCACACACCATAGTGTCAAGCAATTTGATTACCCATTTTACAGGGAGGCGTGGCTCGCTGCCAGATGGTCCACGTGTGCGTGTGCCTGGGTCTGTGCGCCTGGATGCGCTTGTGCTTAATAAACAAACCCCCATCAGGTGAAGTTTAGATGTGAGGGAGGAAAAGAGCTTCCCCCAAGCCCACCTGAATGCCTGGATTCTGGGCTCTCGGGCACACAGCAGCGGGGATGGAGCGGGAGAGGGGAGCCCTCAGCAGGCCCCTCCCACTTGAAGCAGCACCCAGCCCCTTGCCTGGAGCTCTCTGAAGTCAGGAAGGCAGGGTGAAGGGCAGCGCAGATCTNTTGCCTGGAGCTCTCTGAAGTCAGGAAGGCAGGGTGAAGGGCAGCGCAGATCTGGTGTGCACTGGGGCTCAGGTGCGTGCTAGGTGGACATGGGACTAGGGACGCCCTGGGGACCCCAGGGTGAGGACCTCTACCACCTGTTCAGGAAGCTTGTGCTGATCACTGTGGGGCCACTGAAGGCTCAGGTCTCTGTTTTAAATTTATTTTTAAATTCACTGAGTTTAGAGAGAGAGGGAGAAAGAGAGAGAGAAAGAGGGAGAGATTTGTTGTTCCGCTTGTCTATGCATTCATTGGTTGATTCTTGTATGTACCCTGACCGGGGATCGAACCCACAACCTTGGTATATGGGGAGGACACTAACCAACGTAGCTACCTGGCCATGGCTCAGGTCTCTGTTTTAGAGAGGTAGGTCTGGGGTAGCACGGAGGCAATCTTGGGAAGCAGGGAGCAGTGGTGAGGCTGAGTGGGAGGGGGGCTGCCTGAGTCCCCCTAGAGAGGGGTGTAGGCAGGAGGGAACCCTGGCAGATGCTGAGCTCCCAGCTCAACACAGCTGAGGGTGCAGTTGCCCCTGCCGGCCTGGGGTCAGGACAGGCAGTGTTATCAGACTGCCCAGCTGGCTCAGAGGTGGCCCCCTAGCGCTGCTAAATCGGGCCATGGGCTCCTGCCGCAGGAAGAGGGAAATGCAGGCAGGATGTCCTCTCCTGTGACCGACAAGTCCTTTCCCATGAACCCCTGCTGACCTCGCTGGCCACGTGGCGGGTCTCCCCCACTCCCCACCCTGACCTGCGCCTGTTGGAGGGGCCACCCACACCCAGCCTGGCCTGGGACAGGCAGTGCCTGCTGTCTGACCGCCCAGCCTGAACCCCCAACGTGATGCAGACCTGCACCTTCCTCTCCCAGACTTCAGCCTTTGGCCTGACCGGAAAACCAAGATCCCAGAGGAAGCCAGTGTCTGAAAAGGATCGAAACTCAGGAATCCCTGGCTCCAGCCCCAACACGTTGGCAGGGTCTTGCTCCGAGGTGGGTGCAGGGAGTGTGAGCAGCTTTCTGGACCCCGCTCCCTGCCTATCCCCCTCTCCAAGGGGCATCTCAGAGGGCTGTGGGGCACAGGCTAGGTCCGGGTGGAAAGAAATCCACCACGTGGAGGAAAACGCCCAGACAACAGCAGGAGGGGTGGAAGTCAGATCCAGAGAAGACCTTCCCCTCACGGCTAAGACCCCATTTAACTTCCCTAGGTTCCCTGATCCCCTCAGCCCCATCATACTCAAGTGCTCCCAACTTTCCTCTTTCCTCATCTGGCCAAATTGCACCAACTGGTCTCCTGAGAAGTCCTGTTGGATGCCTCCACCCAGAGGACCTGCCTCCCCAGTGGAGTACTTTCCCCTTCCCCGCATCAAATTCTCCTCCCAGGGTCCCCATCTGGTAAACAACCCCATCCTGTTGCTTAAGCCAGAGACTGGCCCTCGTCCCACTCTCCCACCATCCCCAGTCACTGCTGCGTGTTCCCCTGGCGCATCTCCTGAGTTCACTCACAGCCTTTTTGCTGTGCCTCGCGTCTGGTCTGTGTTTCTGGCGATGCCTTCATGGACCCTGGCCAGGTGGCTCTCTGCTCAGAACCTCCCCTTTCCAGATGTGCTGCTGGCTCCCACCACCTCCACCTGCCTTGTCTCCCCCCACCCCAGACTCTAGCCTCATCTGACCACCCACATATCCCCATACACTGCCTGGACTTTCCCATCTGTGTCTCTGACGGTTTCTTTGCCCTGCCTGGAATTCCCTGCCCTGGAGTTCGCAGACCCCTCCAGGAAGCTCCGAGCTGGAAGTGCTGTTGCCTTCCTGTGTAGCCACCGTCACCGGCTGGGCCTCACTGGGGTCACTGAGCACTTTTGTCCCTGTGCTAGATGTCTGATGCCACATCTGTGTTCCTGATAGTCTAACACTAAGGAGACCTCTACAGGACCAATCCAGGTCCAAATGCCCCCTTGAACCACCCTAAGCACCATAGCTTGTGACTTGCACAGAACTGCAGTTGACTTCTCTGGGTTGGGGTGTCACAGCTTGGGGGCAGGGTGGGGGAGGCACAGCCAGGAGCTGGCCAGACAGTCCCCTGTGACACCTCATGACCACTGTGCCCTGGGTAGCTAGAACCCTTTAGCCACACTGACCCCAGAGGCCTGGTGGGCACATGAGCAGCACCTACATCCGTGTCCCGGAGCACTGAGCTGGGGTCCAGTGGTCCACAGGCACCAAGTAATGTGGACCCAGGCCCCACATCCTGCCTGCACAAAACTTGCATCCCTGCCCCACCCTCACCCCCACCTCTCTGGCTCAGGGCTGAGGAGCTGGGACAGGGGAGAGCTGGGATGGCCCTGTGCAATTCAGCTCACAGCAGGGGCCAATGTAGCTGCCAGGCTGTCACCTGCTTCCTCTGCATGTCCCTGAGCTGACTGCCCACTGTCCAGAGATGCAAACAGCCTCTCTAAACTAAGCCCATGAGGCAAAGTCTCTTGAAGCTGGCCTCTGCCACCTGCTCTCTCCCCAGAGATGCTGCCAGAGCAAAGTTTCTGGAACTGGACTGACACCTGGCCAGGAAATCCAGCCCAAGCACAGCCCCTCAGTACTTGCCACCCTGTCACACTGCTACACCCAGAAGAGGAAGAGAGGGGCGCAGGCCATACAGCAAATAATGGGAGAGCTGGGACAAGGGTTTGTTCTATGACTAACAGCACTCCTTTGAGGGGTCAGCTTCAAGGTCCCTAGGCTTCTCACCTGCCAGCGCCTGACCTCCACTCTGGCTGCGCTGAAGCTCAACTGAAGTATCTATGCTTCTGCTCCAGCATCCCTCATCAGGCCGAGGGTCCTCATCACCCAGCAGTGGGTGGGGCAAGTGCAGGCCTCAGGCAGGGCAGCAATGGTCTCCTTACTGTCCCTGGACATCTTCCCACCAGCCGAGCCCTGATCCAGCCTGGGCCACCCCCCTCCATAGGCCCCCTTCAGCAAACATCCTCTCCCTTCCCCTTCACTGCCCAACTTTGGTAAGAATCACCTGTAGTCACAGCAGGACTGGCCTCACCATTGTCGCTCCTCCACCTCCCAAGCACTCGGACACCAGCCTCTCCTGGTTCTTACACCCTGCAGAACGGTCCCATCTCCCTGCAAGCCTCTCCCTCTCTGCCCTTTTCTGCGAGAGGGCCTGTGAGAGGGCATCCCATCCCAGACCCTTTTCTCTGCTCCCTCTCCAGCTCCCCAGCCCAGCCTCTCTCTCAGACACTACACCCAGCTGCCTGCCAGATGTCTCCTCAAGGTGGGGTCTCCCACCCACTCAGTCCAGCCAGGGGCCCATTCACTTCTCCCACACTCAGTCACTCAACACCCGGATACTGAGCACTGTGAGAGCCTGGCCGGGGGCTGGGTTCAGGGCAGTGAGAAGAGCCCGGGAGTGGCAGGGTCTGTTCAGATCCGTTCAGCTCGAGGCGCAGAGGGATGCCCTCCTCCGGCCTCTCTGGAGGCTCACCCACACTCCCTCCTGCGGGGAAGGCTCTGCTATCCCAAACACCTGGGCTACTTCCTTTCCTGCCGGCTCCTGGGAACCTTGGAGAAGTCACACACGTCCTTTGTCTGAGCGCCCCCACCTAAAAAACGGCCTAACTCCCTCGTGAGGATTAAGAGATGAAGCATATAAAGCCAGTATTTGTTGCCTACAGTTTTCCAAAGTGGTGAGATCCCCATCTCTCCCTGTGACCTCCCAGCACTCCTCCCAGAACCACTGGGGACCCAGGATTACCCTCGGATTTCCAGAGTCGCCAGGTTTTGTGTGGCATTCAGCTCGCCCCCTCTCCACTACCGATGCTTTACCCCTGACGTCTCCGTCCGACCATGCCCTCTGCTCGCTCCTCTCTCCAGCCCCGCGGCGGCGTGTTCCCACCGCAGACCGGACCTAGCCTCTCGCGCGCTCCGGACCCTTCCGTAGTAGGCCCCGCCTATGGTCCAGGCTCCTCCGCTCAGCCCGCAGGGTACCCGCGCCTCCAAATACGGGGCGGGCCGGCCTCCTGCCTCCTCTGTCCCGCTGGACGCTCACGAGTTGCCGACTCAAGACTCGCCTCAAATTCCAACACGCACCTGCGCGCTACCCTTCAGCCGGCGCTGGTCTGCAGGGGTCCCCGAACCCCGG